GTAGAATGTGAGGCCCAGGTGGGATGAGGGTCGTGGAGCCTGCTCCTTCCTCCAGTGTCCTCAGTAGAATGTGAGGCCCAGGTGGGATGAGGGTCGTGGAGCCTGCTCCTTCCTCCAGTGTCCTCAGCAGGCAGCTTCGCTTCCTTTTAGGTGAGATGAGATGTTCCATGTCCTCATCTCTCACTCTCACGGTCTTGGTCTTCCTTACTCCTTTACTGGTGACCTGGAAATCTAGTTAAAGTGCAAGCAGGACCTTTCCCTGTCCCAGGACCCTTTTCTGCAAGGTGCAGTCATAGGTTCTTCTAACACTTTCTCAGGATCTGGTGTGTGCTGTTATTCACTACCAAGAAAATGACTGCATTGGTTCTTTAAAGATACCCTCGCCAGATTGTTAGCCCCCAAATTCAGAGAGAGCTATACTCAGTAAAAGTGTTAGAAACAAAATATAAATCCTTTTGTGTTCTCCAGTTGTATAAAGCCATTAGAGCCTCATGTATGCCAACCCTGGAGAAACCCCTAAGTGGGAGAACGTCCAAGGGAGACGAGTGAGAGGCCAAGCCACAGCCTTTAAAACCAGTTCAGAGCCCATCTTCATGAAGACGCTTCTTTCCACCTTCACAGGTGCTGAGATCTCAGCACTCTCACATAGCTGCTTGGTGAAATTGACCTTTTGTGGGGCCTGGAGTGTAGTCTCATTCTTTATGCCTCTTCACATTGACTCCTTGCATATGGTAGAAACTCGAGAACATGTTGACCCTTGAAGAACAAAGAGCTGAAGGATTCAGTGATGGGGGCACTGCCCTCTGGAAAGACAGGTGCAGGGAGTCAGGGGGGTGAGTGGCCTGTGTTCGTGGTGTGGAGCCAGACAGGTCTGATGTGCATCCTGTCTCCACCGGATACCTGTTTAACATTGGATGGGATAGATTTGTACAAACTGAGTTCCTCTGTGAAATAGAGATGATAGTTACAGATTTATTTAAAGATTAGAGATATTCTATATAAAGATATTCTGTATAAAGTCCATAATAGTAAAGGGAAACTGTCCTTGGGATAGTATCAGCAGAATCTGCTGTAGTCATCAAAGGCAGGGTAAGATGAACATGATTTTATCAAATTATGTATCACAGTGATCAAACCAGGCTTCATGTATATCCAATCATATACTCTTTTAGGCTGAAAGAGTAGCCCCCTTTTTCTTAAGAATTTTTTGCAGTTTTTGGCCAGGGCTGGGTTTGAACCCACTACCTCCGGCATATGGGGCCAGTACCCTACTCCTTTGAGCCACAGGTGCCGCCCAGAGTAGTCCTTTTGATAAGGGTGATAGCACATCTTGCTGCCTAAAAAATACAGGCTGGAGTTACCAGTGTATTTGAGAACGATTTGATCCATGTGTGGATGAGAAGTTCAGTTCAGTTCGACAGTACCTACCGTTTGTGCCTGTGTGCCTGGTCCGAGCTTGCGCAGTGTGTGTGCCCCGAGTGAGAAGGCTGTTGGCTTCATGTCAGCGTGCTGTGCGGGAGGTTTCTGTCAGAGATGATCTGCGTGTGATTGTGCCATGAGATTATAAGGGAGCTGGAAGATCTGCCACCTTCTGATGTCTAAGCATTGTAACATTGTAACAGTGTTTAGATGGATTTAGATACACAAATACCTAACCGTTGTGTTATGATACGCAGCCCAGTAGCATACTGTGGTACTATGTACTATGCATGTTTGTAGCGGAGGTGTAGCGGCTGTATGCCAGCCTAGGTGTGTAGTAGGCTGTACCTAGGTGCGTGTAGGTGTACTCTATGGCATGTGCATCATGACAGAATCGCCTGATGATGCGTTTCTCAGAACGGCTCCCTGTCAGTGCACGCTCGTGACTGCCATATACCCCGAATGACTCCCGGCGGGTCCTGGTGAAGGGCTTCACAGCTCGCATTTTTGATGTGATGTATTGTGACCTTCCTCTGACTTCCTCTTTTCTGGTCAAATATATGTATGTCAATTTACTCTAGAAATCAGATGCTGATCTTTATTTTGGGTAATTTTATTGGCTATTCACTAACTTTTCTGGGCCTCTTACTTGGCTTGATCTTTTCCGTCCCTGTCGGGACCAGTGCAGAATGAGTTAATTACGCTGACACTTGAAGGTGCCAGTCTGACTTTGCCTCTGACTTGCTGAGTGTGGTGTAAACTCTAGCAGGGAGACAGGTTCCCATGAGGGTGAAACATTCACCCTGTTTGTCCCTAACCTCCCTTGTGTGACCAGAACTTGAGATCTGATGAGTTATGTTGTTTTTTCAAACTTAAGTGGTATTCATTATAATTACATTAGTTACATACAAGGAGAAAACTTTTTCTTATTTGGAAACATACCCTTGTTAATTAGAAGAACTCCTTATCTATAATAGCTCTTCTCTGCTGTGTTTACTGCTGGACTCTGGTGCTCTCCCTTTCACCTGCTGAGAAGTATTAGATTTTATAAGATTTGTAGAAATCAAGTTAAATACTAAACTAGATGGCTCATTGTTTTTTGGGAGATGAATTATCTTGGTAGGTGTTGTTGCTTTTGCTTTGTGTTTATGCTGAGTAATTCATAGGGAGGTATGTATTCTGACATTTTAAAGTATCTTGTTTAGAAAATAAATTGATTTAAAGCAGGGCGTGTGTGTGTATGTGTACGTCATTTCTGAAGCAAAACGTACACTTTTATTGCCTTAAGGGAGAAGTGTTTATTGCATAATATATGTTCATAAGGTTTTTGTAGAAATATTCTACTTGTAAAAAATCTGTAAAGGTTACATTGTTTTCCAACGTTTAATATTGTCCCAAATAAAAAATACATACAGTTTTATTTAGTTAACTAGCTCAGTCCTTAGGGACTGAGGAAATCAGGATTTAACTGAAACTAGTGAGTTATTTTAAGCCTGGCAGTTAACTCTTCAACAAATGAAGTTATTTTTATAAAATTCTGTGCTCCTTTGGTTCACTGGAAACTTAATTATATAAAGTGTAATAAGGACATTCATTGTTTGAATTATAAGCTTCACCTATTTGTTTTAAAAAATACAAGCATTTGGACTGAACTTTGGAGTCACTATTTTAGGTAACCGATTCTTAATCCAGATGAAATAGAGGACAGATAAGCATCTCTGAATTCTAGATGGTACAGTCTTCAATTTGAGTCCCAAACTAACCATTTATCAGCATTATTTGCTAATTAATAAAATGGACTAATCTCAGCTTAATCTCTGTCTGAGGGATGGAAAAGCAATTAAAAAGGAATAAGGTGCTAAGTAGAAAGAATTGAAAAAATAAATCCTTCCCTTCTGTTGGTCACTGGGCACTCGTCACACATGTGCTCACTCACCAGGTATTTGCCCAGCAAAATAGTAGCTGTGACACCAAAGCATTGAGACTTAAACTTGAACCCTCCCTGTGTTCAGTGATCTAAGTAAACGTATTTACTTTTGCTGTAAAGACTTACGATATTGTTACTTTATAGTCTATACTTAAATCTAGTTTTAAAGTAGAGTGAATCTAATTTTTACAAAACTAAGTAGATAATTTTTCATATTTTCCATTGAAAATTTCATCTATTTAAAGAATTAAGAAATTCTATATGAAGATTTATGGTTATTAACAAGTTTTTTTATTGATTAAATGATTGATGTATCAGTATGGTTACTTTACTACAGAAAGGATTATCACAAATGTACTATTTTTTTTTTTTGCAGTTTTTGTCCGGGGCTGGGTTTGAACCCACCACCTCTGGCATATGGGGCCAGCACCCTACTCTTTTGAGCCACAGATGCCACCCCAGAAATGTACTTTTTTTGAGAAAATTGCTATTATAAAACACACACACACACACCCCTCCTGCGGATGGGACACAACTACAACAGGGACCTTACACAGAAACATTGTAACCTAATCATTTTTATCCTCATATTAGTCTGAAATTAAAAAAAAAGAAAATTGCCATTAATAATGATTTTAAATTTTTGTTGCAGCTAGAACGAGTGAATCTGTCTGCAGCTCAGACGCTGAGAGCCGCGTTCATTAAGGTGAGGGGCTGGTGATTTATCATGATCAAAGTATGAGTTATGAATCTACATATTGTATGAGAGTCGCCAGCTTTTATTAGCAAACCCTTTGAGTCCTCTTCTGCTGTTTCAGGGCACTCTGTAAGTCTTAGAGCGCCTCCCAGGTGGACTGGGTCTAGTGCTGCCCCAGTACTCATCTGCTCATCGCTTTGTGCTTTTGCAGCTGATTTCTTCAGAGTGTTCTCTCTTTAGCTGTAGATTATATGTTTGAATTTTTTTAATTATTTAACTTGTTAAAACTTACTTGTGAAATTATAACTTGAAAAGGTGTTTTTCATATTGCTTAATTATAGAACATGAGTATAAAAGATCACTGGTTTTGAATGGGAAGGTGACACCTCCAGTTACGATGGAGCAAGGACACTTTGGGAAGGCACAGCTCCGTCACCCTCAGTGGAGTCTTCCCTGTCTGCAGACCCTAGCTGCTCTGCTCACGCCTTGTCACTGGCCACCAGTTCAGATTAGGATGTGTTCAAAGTAGAGGAATATAAAGAAAGTAAGATATCTCAGTAATGGGCATAGGTATTTTATACTGATTCATATTGAAATAATATTTTGGATGTACTATTAAGATAGTTGTACCTTTTTTCTTTTCTTGTTTTTTTTTTAATTTTTTTTTAATGTGTGATGACTAGAAAACTTGAACTTACAAAGATGTCTCATACATTGGTCACTACAAAAGTTTTGAGATACACAAAAATCAAGAAATATAAAATCTTCAAAACTGGAAGCAGATGAAGCTCTCCCAGCAACCCCAGTAAGCCGAGCAGTGGAAACTGGCAGGGCTGGAGCAGCGAGGACGCTGTCAGCTGTTTCCTGGAAGTGAAATAATGGACCATAGCAGTCTGTCTCAAAACTTTTATAGTGACCCACATATTTGTTGCTTACCTTATATTTCTATTGGACAGTCCTACTCTAGAGATGTATTATACGTACTGGGCATATGCCTTAATGCAAACGTTTATCTGGGCCCCCACCTCAAACATGTACGAGGATATAAAGTGCCCGAAACTTTAATTCCTATTTGTGTGTGTCTCCATTAATAGCTAAAACAACTTCTTTTTTTTTTTTTGCAGTTTTTTTAGCCAGAGCTGGGTTTAAACCCACCACCTCCGGCATATGAGGCCGGCACCCTACCACTTTGAGCCACAGGCGCCACCCTAAAACAACTTCTTGTTTTTCAAATAGAATGTTTTACTATGTAAATTTGGAATGAATTTATAGTGAAGTTTCATTGGAATTGAAGCTATAAATCTGTTCAGCTTGATTTCTTTGTGTGGCACATAAGTTTATTGAGACCACTCTTAACTGGTAGCTCAGAGCGTGTCTCTGGACGTCTTTCTTATATCACCAGAATTGTTTTTGCAGCTGTAATACCTGTATATCTGTGATTTGGTGTGTTTGCATATGCGTATTTACTAGTTCATTAAAATACATCATGCAGAATCATTGACTTCATGAAGAAAATTAATGAAGCAGTACCATGATGGGTATTTTGTCATTGTTTCTTCTTTGAGCGTCAGTTTGGTTTTGGAATGGAATATTTGGTCATTAAGGAGGCGGGACAGTGACTAACTTAAGCACATTTGTGGCCAAAAAAAAAAGAAAACGTGATCTCTGCACAATACAGTATTTATAAAGTAAAAATCAGTTTTCCACTTTTCCTAATACTAAGAACAGAGAGAAATTTATCTGCAGGAGTAGATAGTAGTAGATGATATCTTCATTGGCATTCATAAAAGAAATAAAATAATGAATTTCATAAGGCTTTTTCTGTAACATCCTAGCACATAAACTGATTATTTAACATTGAATTATGTGACTATGATAGTTCTGCTTTGATTCATGCATAAATCTTATCTACAGCATTGATTCTTAATTGAGGGTAGTGGAGGTCATTTTGGAGGAAAATAAATTAACCAATTTTGCATTTATTTATTTTTAATTATCAAATTTAATTTATTAAATTTCAAGTGAAATTGAGAAGTATAGGGGTTAAAAAGGGGAAGGTGTTTGTGTTTTGTTCTTTTTCGTTTCTTTTTTCAAGCTGTAATCTTTTTGAAAAAGATGAACAAAGCCCTACGAGTTAGAAAATCTTATATCCGTGTTTTCAGTTCTTGGTCCCCAATAAATAATTTTTATTAAACTTATTATTTGGAGAAAAAGGAGATTAAAGTACCTTTTCCTCAAGATAAAATAATACTATTGAGTATTATGTTTTAACATATACAGTTGACCCTTAAACATCATGGGGTTAGGTGTGCCAACCCCTCAGCAGTCAAAAATTGGAATATAACTCTTGATTCCCCAAAAGCTTAACTACTAAAAGCCTGTTATGGACGAGACTCTTTACCAGTAAACATAAACAACACATATTTTACATGTTATATTTTTACAATAAAGTAAGTTAGAGAATAGAAAATGTTATTGAGAAAATCATAAAGAAGAGAAAATAGATTTCCTATTCCTTAAGTAGAGGGAGCTAATATAAAGATCGTCACCCATGGTGTCTTCTGATTAAGTAGGCTGAGGAGGGGAGAGGATGAGCAGAAGTGGAGGAGTTGAAAGGCAGGCAGGTGGGACAAGCTCTCTTGTTGTAACTGTGGAAATACATCATGGTTTCTGTCTGATTTTTGTTGAAAATGTTTCTATATGGTCAGAGTCCATGTGCCACCATTTGCTTCAGTTTCAATGCCTGTATCATAGAAGGGTCCATGTGGTAAAGTAAGTCAGACAGTCTGATGTGAGCAGAGGTCTTGGACCAGGGTGTCTAGAGTCGCTTTGTTCCTGGCACTGCTGCCTGTATGTCTTCTGGCTGTGGGGCACTGGTTCAGAAGCGTTCATCTGCACCAGCTTGTCTTTGGACCATTTCCCTGATGGGGCCTGTCAGCTCTAGATTTCCCCAGGACCCCTGTCTTGAAGCCCCAGCCTTTTAGCACATCCACTATCTCTTTAATTGTTTCCTTGATTGGGTCTGTTACTCCGTATAGATCCCATAAAGTCGTGTACAGCATCTCGGCCCAGTTTTCATCAGCAGGATGATTATTGTTTTGGGCTCGATGGTTTCATGGTGTTTCCTATAGCAGTGAGTAGCGTCTTAAATGATGTAATCCCTGTATATGTTCACGGTCTCTCAGGATTCTCTCTTAGGGTGCTGACAGTATCCCCCACTCCCCAGCACTGTATGTAACACGCACCTTGAGGTTTAAAGAACCTTAGGATCTAAAATCTCCATTGGAGATGTTTTGGGGGGCAAAGAGATTACTTCAGCATCTTTGGTGGTGACCTCTTGAGGTTCTTTGTGGCTGGGAGCATTGCACTGTCAAATTTTGAAAGAACTTTAGAAAGCAGACTTTTACTGGCAAGGTTCTTCCTTACTTCAGAACATCCATAGAACCAGTCCAGAAAAAGGGTTCTTCTTGTCCAGGCCTCCTGTTGTACAGCTGAAAGACTGGCAGCTGGTGTTTGTTCATCTTTCCCATGAAGGCACGAGGCTTGGCAGCTTTGTAGGTGAGGGCAGTCCTGGTCACACACCTGACTGCTTTTATGCAAAATGGTTGTCTATCCCTGCCTGACTTCTCTTTATTGGTAATAAATGTCCTTCATGTGCCCCAGAATAGGTGCATTAAAAACCTATTCAGGCAGATACCCTTTCTTGTAAGTGGTTTTCTTCATAGTGTATGGGAACTCATCTACTATCTCTTGGTCAGTGGAAGCTATTTCTCCTATTATCTTGATATTTTTAAAGTTAAACCTCTTTGTAAAACTATCAAACCATCCTTTGCTGGCATTAAATTCAAAATTCTCCAGCTTTGGATCCTTCATATTCCTTTTGCTTTAAGTTGTCATATAATGACTTTTACTTTTTTAAAAATCATGTTAGAGTCTGTGGTTTGCCTTTTTTACAGAAATCCAGCACCCACATAAAAGCTGCATTTTCAATATGAGGTAAAAAGGAACTTTGCATAATGGCAGTGTTTTTGTGTCTACTGGTGCGGCTGTACAGGCAGATTAATAAGTTTCCTTTTCTGTTTTTATACTGGTGCTTACACTGGATTTGTCTTGAAATGAAGGGCAACTGCCTTCTCAGACTTGATCTGTGGTATACATCAAGCATCAGCTTTTCCTTATAGTGTCATGACTTGGCTTCTTGGGCGCACATCAGCCTCACTCGTGGCATTTCACAAGGGTCTCCTGGTGTTATTCAAGCTTTACAATATAACACCAAACGTAATGAAATATATGCGAGACTGAGAGATTACTTTTTACTGACGAGCTGAACTGGTCAGCATGTGGCTGTGTTGAGCTGTAAAGTCACATGGCATTTTAAGTGTGTACCTTAAAGTCAGCACTTGAGCTCACTGCAATAGCAACTTTACATATGCAGTGTTGACTGCTGTTAATTTTATACATTTATGGTTTAATACTACATCTTTCTGTTTGTTTATATTTCTCCTGCAAATGGTGCCATGTGCAAGCTATAAATGTATGTGTGTTTTGATAAATTTTAACTTTTATAATAGATTTGTTTATATTTTATGGTATTAATTGATAAAATTGACTAGTATCTACATAATTTTATGTATTCATGACATCTTTTTAATGTTTTTAATATTTTTAGTCTATGAGCTTTGCATGTTTTTCAAATTATCACAAATCTCTAACATTTATTAAATATAAATATATTTGTATTTTAAATAGAAATCTGCATATAAGTATACTCGCACTGTTCATACCCCTGTAAGTTCAAGGGTCAACTGTATTCCTTTTGATTTCCCCCTCCCTTCCCCCTCTGAGAGGTGCTGATAGGCTGTCCCTTGTCTCCCTTCCTCCTCTGAGAGGTGCTGATAGGCTGTCCCATCTCCCTTA